TTTAATACTATAATTTTAACATTTTCATTTGAGTTATATTAATGATATAATAAATATAATATTATAAATTTATAATACATAACATTATAATTTTATAATTTTTTATTAATATATTTTCTCATTTTTCATTTTTTATTCTCTTGGCCGCCAAAGAAACCTCTCATTCCTCTTCCAAGTTCCAATGCAGAACATCAGTTAGATTTTTTTTTTCCTTTTTAATTTTTCCACATCATTTGAAGTGGACTTAAAATTTTCTCCACCTTAACCCTTTGAGAACGTGGAAATTATAAATAATTTGTAGAATAAAAATATTACATTTTCAACTTATTTGGACTTTATTTAATATATTTGTAGTTTTATATTTTTTATTTTAGTTGTTAATGACTTAAATAGTTTAGTAAGAATTTTTTAATAAATTTTAATTTTAAATCGCATGATATATAGGTAAGATAAAGAGTGAAAAAATTAAGTTGCTTTTTATTATGTAATCTATGATCAAAAAAATTTGTTTTAGCTTTTAAAATTCAAACAATTTAAATTAGCAATTAACTATCAAAATTAAAAATTAAAATTATTAATTTATTGAGTATAAAATTTTAAAATAAATACTTAAAATTTTAAATTTAATTAATTTATTAAACTACATTTCATTTTAAAAGTTTTAAAATTTTAAAAATCAAAACAAAAAATACTAAATGAAGCATTAAAGTTCCACGTCAACTGAAAACTGTTAAAATGTTCACGGATGGTGAAAAAAGAGGCCGGAAAATTAATTTTGAGGTACTAAGAAAATTATTGTTTTTTAGTTGGGGATTAAAAAGGAATTCCGTACTAAAATTGAGGGACAAAAAACGGGTTTTAAACCTAATTAATTTTTTTAAATGTGCTAAACCAACTTGAAGTTTACCTTTAAAATTATTTTTTATTTAAGAAAAAATTAGTCGCGGAATATAAAGAAGCTAACCTGAAGAGACGTTGGCTATGAATGAAAAAAAAAAATGAACACAAATTTTTTGACAGGGCTGAGAAGCCTTGCTCGTCGCCAAAGTTATTTGGTAGATTGTGACCAGAAGCTTCAGTCAGTGTTAGTGGGTTTCTTGGGAAGTTGGGTTCAAATATCTAAGTTAAATGAGTCCGAAATTGATATTGAGAATATAGAAGACATACAGTTTATACATGTAATTTAGGGGTGAGCATGGTCTCTGGGTATATCCATTATTTATAAGTACTTTATCTGTTTGGGTAAGTATTTTACCTAAACTGTAAAAAAGTTGGGTAAATATTAGATATGAAAATAGTATATCCGATAGTGTTAAGTCAAGTAACAAGTATAAAGATTCAGATGAATTGTTTATCCGACATGTTTAACCATTTTATTTAATTGATATATTACATGTATTTGTATAATTGAAATTTTATATATACTTATTATACTTAATATCTATATAATAACAATAATTTTTAAAAATAAAAATAATAAAATACAAAAGTAAAAATAAAAGAAAAAAGTTTTTTTTTGAATAGTGTGAAATCTTTTTTTGGGAGAAGGGGTAATGGGGGACTTGGGATTTGATCCCAGTTCTTGTAGTCCTACGCACGTCCCTGCAAGGGGTGGCCATTGGGCCACCGAGTGCGGTACATAAAAGAAATTATTTACACAATTTATAAATAACAAATTTTAAACCAAACACATATTACAAACATAGCCGATGACTTTTTCTTTTTATTGACTCTTAAGCAATGATAAGTACTTATAACTTTAAAGTTTGATTATTTTTAGTTTTTTTTTTCTATTAATTATTTTCAAGTCATAGTCTTTATTTATTGTATAAATAATTTTTTAACTTCAAACTTTAAATTTAATATGATAAAAATCATAAATCAAAAGCATAAATATCAAGATGTTAAAATAAATACAATACCATTAGTCATTATCTTTCTAATAAACCGAAACAAAGGATTAGAGAAACTATGAGTCTAAAAACTTAAACATCCTTTTTTAATGACTTTCATTTTGTTATGTAATTTATTTTCATTTTTTATTTTTTGTTACATATTTTTTCTTCTTTATTGTTAACTATTTAATTAAATTTAGTTTTTTAATAGGACATTGATTTGAGTTGTTGATAGGAAACTAAATTTTAATTCTCTATTGTTATTTTAGATTATATTTAAATTTAGATTGTAATAAATAATATTTAATTAGTTTTATTTAAGTTTAGATTGAAATTAAATAATATTTTATTAAATTTTAATTTTAAAAAATTTAAAGCAAAATATTATTCAACAAATACATAAATATATATCCGCAAATTACCTAATACCTATTGGGTTGAATACCAATTATAATTCTTCAAGTATTTGGATAAATACCAAATTTAAAAAGCTATAACCAAAAATTTTCAAATCAAATGCGAAATATATCTCATACCCTACTTGTACCTGAAAATGCTCACCCCTGTAGTTACTTATCTTCTTTCATTCCAACAGCTCATAAAATAAATGACATAATTTATTTTTTAAAATTTTATTGTTCGAATTACATTATCATGGTACTAATGAAGTTCTAACAACTTTTGAAGACACCAAAGAACAATTGAATTTTAATTGAAATCAACCCAAAAGGATTAAATTTTTTTCGTACCATGTTATTTCTATAGCTCATGCACATACGCTCTCTGGACAACATGTCAATTCTTAGTATATTTTTATTTTTATTTTTATTTTTATTTTTTTGCTGTCTGTATCAATGTATAATTGTAATATATGACAACAAACCTAGGTTTAACCAGAGTCTATTTATTATTGAACCATGGTTTGGTCTGACACAATTCCTATTGTTTATAGCTCAAGAAATTATTTATATCATACAAGATAATTGAGCTCCAATCGACACATTGATCTTCCAAGACGTTCTAACAACCTTAACATAAAAGTATACTCTTTAAAGGAATGAGGCACCTCAAAGTCGCAATCTTCTGGCCATGGCTTTAGTTAGATGATTTTGATGTTCGTACTGGTAATGGACAAATGTAGAAACTCTTGTGAGCGAAGTAATATCTGTATGGTTAATTGTACACAAATGTAGTTAGTAGTACCTTTCACCAGTTGCTTCTCCCAGCATAAGGCTAAAGAGTCCCCATCATCCAAACAAATTGAGTATAACAACGGTTAATAATTGGTTATTTAGACAAATTATCACCTAAAGAAGCTTTTTTTAAGTAAAATTTTTCCTTCTAATTCAGGTCCCAATATTAATGAGGGTTAACATAGGTTCAACATCAAGATGGTGCTTAATAATTTGGGGAGATAATTGATTCTTGACCTTAATTCGAGTGGACCATTCACCCTCCAATTAATGTTTTTAAATTCAAGTGTTTAACAATCTAACTCCAAACACTATCTCTCATTTAATGGTTACTATTATAGTCTAATATTGTCTAATTTAGTTTGTACTACAAAACAGAACACTCTTTTTAGATTAAACAATAATGAATTCTCAAATATCACATTGTATATTTGACTTTCACGGAAAAAGGATAACAAAAATGGAAAAAAATTTTTTTAATTAAAATGGATAGTAGGAATTTTCCTGGAAGGAGGTTTGTGTATTTTTAGACTTTCTTGATTACAAAGTAACCAGGCTCATCCATTTATTTAGGCCAGTCAGTGTTGGGAACAGCAGCACAGTTGAACTCAAAACTTCTGTAAACATGTCCTCGGAAAAGGGAAAGGAAAAGGAGCCTGCCTCCGACAAAAAGGGGTATCGTTGCAGCACTTGCAAGATAGGTTATGACGTTGTGGACGATCTAATTGCGCACAGGAATGCCACTCATTCTCTGACAAAGCAGCAGGTTCGCAAAAACAGGAACACTAATGCAGAAGGAAACAATAAGGGAGTTGCTGGGAAGGCTGGCGGAGGTTCCAGTGGATCGGCTTCTGGTGGAGGTAAGGGGAAGTAGAATGCGGGCAACAATGGGTTTTATAAGTAGTTAAATATTTTATACTCGGCTAGAAATAAGACATGTGATTATGAATGAAAAGAATGACGAAATATCATGTAAATATCAATGAATATTATGAAGAAACATCATGTAAATATTAATGAATGAATGAAGAATTATCATGCAAATATATGATTGAAAAGTTCTATGCAAACCTTCAATTTGTTCGATAACAGCACCTCTATATGAAATAAAACAGATTTAATGAGCTGTAGCCTCTATTCGAATGCTTTTGCTTAATTTGGTGATCAGCAATGCACCTTAACCGTCACATTTTAGACCTGGGTGCTTTCTCCTGCATGTGGTGTGCCTTTTCTGTCCAGTTACAGAATCGATTTCCTTCTGTTGACTTGTGAACATTTTTATTCTTCTTTCAAAATTCGTTTCGAGATATGTTAAGTAGATGATATTAATTTAGTTTGGAGACGTTATTTTCAAGCTTAATAAATAATTCTATAGAAGTGATTGTAAAAGATCCTGGCAGAGTAGGGAACTGCCAATTGTAACATGGAATGATGTGTGCACCACTAGAAATCAATGTGGGCTTGAAGTAAGACAAATAAAGAAATTGGAATAAAGCTGCAATTTGTAAATACATCTAGCAGCTATGTTCAGGGGACAGAAACTTTTGGATAAGAGATGGGCCAAGGCATTGCGTTTTAGGGTAGAAAACTTCTGGAATTTGCCTATCCCTGCTGATTGCAGTTGGAAATGCGGGGCAGGTTTTGTTTTTGAGGAATGAAGTTGGGAGGTATATTTGGATGAAATTTGGAGATGGCAGGCAAACATCACTGTTTATTGATTGGTGGGTAGGGGAATGTAGGCTGGCTGAGTGTTTACAAGGGGTTGACCTGAGTATATGGGGTAGAAATTCGTAGGTGAAGGAATGGCAACAAAGTGGTCTTTCCAGATGTTGCTGCATTGATCAAGGCTGTACCAGTGATCGAGAGGGAAGATAAATAAATTCTTTCGGAAACCAAAGAAAATACTGGTGAGGCTGCTATCAGCGCTTGTGATGAGATACTGAGAGATACAAATCCTAATTGCAGCTCTTGTTATGATTGTATTTTGCAACACCCAAGGCTGGTTACGTTGGTTATTTTTAATGAAATTTGCTAATTCAAAATATGGCCCTAATAACCCTGGAGTTCCACAATAAGGCTTCCAAATCAAGCGTAAGCAGCCTATCCACAACACCACCTATGTAGCCCAAATAGACCCAGAGTTCGGGGCCCATAATTAACTGTGTGTGTGTCTAATAAAACTTATGAATAAATTAATTAGGCAAAGTCATTAAAACTTTAGTTTTTGTTTTGCACTCTAAAAGTTTAAATTATTTCAGACAATAAAATCAAGACCTTCAGATTGGAAGAAAAGTGCTCAATATCAAGGGTCCCTCCTCAATCCAAGGGTCACTGTCTGGACCAAAACAGTTTTTTTCTTTTTTTGAAAACTTTATTACAAGTCATTTGCACAATTTATATTTATAAAATGAGTCTGCTGCTTTGCAGTGTACAAATCTGCAAAACAAACTCTTAGATAAACAACCCTTAGATGAAAAGAGCCTCTAATATTATGAGCTCATTGCTCACCCCTTATTCGAAGATCTATATTTTAGATTCTAACACGGTAGTCTGCGAAACACTATTTGATTTTACAATTTCCTAGATGGACTGCAATTTTGACAAACTTAATTACCCAAAACTTTTTTTTGGTTCACAACGTATGTTTTCCAATAAGATAGCACCAAGGATATGAAAGAGGTTAAAAGAAAATAAGGAAGAGAACATATCTTATAGAACCAATTCTAGCATCAGAAAGACCACATAGAAATAAGAGAAACTCAAAGACAACATGCATTTGATAAATTGTGCAACCTAAATCCAGATTGAGGGGCTAAATTGAAAAGGTGGTAGACTAAAACAAAAACAGATCAAGAAGCAAAAGAACAAAGTTGGAATCATGAGCAGACAGAAGTTACCTTGACTTAAAGCAGACAATATAGTTTCTGACAACCTGCTTCTACCTTTGGTATTTCTCATAAGCCTCAGGATCATCCACTAACGCCAAAGTCCTAGAGCCGGATAGATCAGGAATGAAGGGTTTATGCTCGTATGGTGATTGATTTGTTTCTCATCTTCAGATCTGCAAATCAAGCAGCATATGAATGCAGATCTGATGATGAAAGAAGACCTGAAGATGGGAGAAGCGGAAGCAATGGAGATCTCCAGAAGCAATGGCCTTAAATTCCCCTTTTATTTTCTTCTTCGTATGTATGTGATATTGATATGATACATGAATGAATGGTTTAGAAGGGAGATGCTCATTGGGCGTTAGATTTCTCTATGGATGCTAATTCACATATCAAATGCCCATTTTACTCTTGCATTTGGTCAAAACCTCGAGAAAGGAAGATGATTATTAAACTCATTAAATAAAGTGTATTACAATATGGTTTATTAATAAGAAGTAATTACTAAGTATGATCATGATAAGTGTTTTAAGTGATTAAAAGTTTAAAAGTCTAAATTAAAAATTTTGAATTTAAATTTTAAGGCTTGTGAGAAGAAATTAAGAGAATAAAAAAATATCTATATTGTATAATTCATCATTTGATGTAAAAAAAATTAAGTATCAATTGATACTACTAAGCACTTTGTATCTTGAGAAAGTTAAGCTTGATTTTTAATTAAGAGAATAGTATATATCAATTATGACTCTAAAAATTTGACATTAAATAATGACATTTTATTTAATTAAATCTCAATTAAAAATTAGAAATCTATCTTACCAAATAATGTTGATATAAATATCTACATTTGAAAATTGAAAATTCTATTCAAAATTTAAAAATACATTTTATTAAATATTGATACTTAAATTTTATATTAAATATTAGTATTTTATAAGATATATATTTGAATTTTAAATTTTTTATGGACAAATAAATTTCATTCATGACTCATAAAAAAAAAAAATATCATTCATGAAAATGAATTACTACAAACTTTAACGGGGTATAACGCCCTCTTAATTTGCCAATATAGGTAAATCTTTCTAATTACAACAAAGATTTTAACAATAAGACTCCATTTCTTGATTAACCACCAAAATCCTTCATCCAAATCATTCCTAATTAAAATAAAATAATACACT